GGTTGATTGAACTTACTCTTCCCAGGTGTGTAGAAACCGACATACTCATGGTATGCGGGTTTGGGGTACTGTATATCAACCCAGAGGTTAAGATTTACCAAATGGTAAGTTAACCAAGCTTTCTGGAATACCCCCAGGAAAGGGTCTCTTAACAGAGGTAAAATGGCACACTCAAAGACCATGAAACGCAAAGTTGATGTAGAAAACAAGTAAGGGCATGAGGAAAAGTTATGCGTTCGTTTTTTTTTTTTTAAAAAAGAAACCTGTTTGAAACAATAAATGCTTAACGCCGCATAGTCTGTCTGAGTTTGTCCTCATTTCGGAATGTAGCCTAAATATAATCATAAATGGTGGTTATTCTGACAAGAGACTCAGTTGTTGTTATTTTTAGTTGCTTTAATAGTGTGGACCACTATTTTCTTTTTGATCCTCACAATTTTGGAATCCAGTCGCGGGCCGGATTGAACGGCTCAGCGGGCCGGATTCGCCCCGCGGGCCGCCAGTTGATGATCAGTGCTGTATGCTGCATACTTAGTGTAGTATTCATTATGCCAGCTTTTTTGTAAGAGTTTTGTAGCACACTACATTTTTACGTGACCTCCCCGTGAATCTTTTAAATTCATAAGGACCATTTCCTGCAGACAAATTAAATAAAAATTTGATAGTAACATTAAATGTTTGGCACATTTTGTGTTATTTTAGGAAGTGAGGAGCATTAACAGCTTATATGTGTTTTTATGCAAAGTTTGGTAATATTTACCATTCTGTCAGTAAAAATGGATGCAAAAAAGTACAGGTTCTTAATAATACAGGCATATTATAATCATTGATTATTGTTTTGTTATTGTTTCATGAATAAAAGAAAACATTACGATGACATATACTATCCAAGAAGAGCTTATTATTGTTTAACATTTTGTGATGACAGCCAGTCTCTGAATAATGTTCCCATAATAATTATTTTTGGAGTCCCTGAGCTTCACCAATATGTATCCCTAATAGATAAACATGTGACTATTATGATAGAATGCTCAAGACACAAAAAAACATTTTTCTCAAAGATTTTGAAGCCAAAAGGTTACTGCATACCAGGGAAGACTCAGGTGCCCATGCGGGCTGCCTATGGCGCCACCTTCTGACAGGATGCCGCCGTAGCAAGCCAGCCTCTCTTTGCCTCAGATGAGAGGTGCTGGCAGCAAAGCTGGCCTAGAGCATCACACAGCCTTCGACTGATACTCTACAAGGTCCATCGTGGGGACGTGGTAGGAATTTTGAAGAAGTCAATTTGTTTAAGAGTTTGACAAAACTTTATTACTGCAAAGCTTTGGGGGAGCAGACACTCATCAGTACTTCATGCGTCTTGTGATCTGCTCCCCGAACAACAATTACACACATCTTTTATAGCAAAAAAATGCACAAGTGTACAGACAGTTCAAGGAGGGGTCGGATATCTTTGGACACCAGCTACTTCTGCTTTTAGAGGTCCAAGGCAGGGTTAACCTGTAGAAGCCGATCGTTCTCATGGTTTCACTACTTCATCTCGACAAGCTTTTTCAGTTACTGTCTTTATCTTACTTATCCTATATTCCCTTGTGCCCCTTATCCTGACATCATATGATACCAGCACAGAAATGTCTAATATTGTTATCTGTAACAGTTGTAACTTCGTGGATCATGTCTGCACCTTTATCCGGTCCTTTTGCAGATTAAGCTATCATATGTTAGTTTCTCATAAAATGCTTCTATTTTTAAAAGTGAAAAACCCATTACTTATGCAAGCTTGCATTATTGCATTACATGTATACTATAATAACCATTCTAAAGCAGCAATTAATCATTATAATCGTTGTAATTAAATCAACAGTGTCATTATGAATTTCTTTGGTAATTACTAATTGAAATTACAATTGTATTTGCATTATCATTGATTTTTCTACCTCAGGGGCAGCGCAAATTAGACTTTTTTACATAGATGGTGCTATGTTGTGGTCAAGTTATTCTCCCCTACAGGGGAACACGGCAACAAAAAGTCACCAGTTTACAAACACAACACTTTAGATTCACATGTTTATTGATTCATAAAGAGGCTTTGGAAACAGAGTAAAAGAAAGGGTGTGATTAGTGAATGTACATTAGAATCAGTTATATTCAGAGTGGTCAAATCGACCAATAACTTTTTTTGAATGTAGCAGATTCTAAGTCAAGTCTTTTTTAAATAGTTTTACAAAATGTTATTTTTTTTAGAGATTGAAATTCTGGGTAACAGACATGCAGAATGAGAAAAGAACAAAAAAGACCATTTTGTGTGAATTACAGTTCCCATCTCTACTGCGACCCAGAACTTACAGAACAGATCAGACACTAGAAATAGCGTTTAATCCACACTGGGGGAAGCTCAGGCTAATGAGGTTTTCTGGGACACCCAAAACTAAATTTCTAAAATTAATTACACAATCCAGATCGCAAATTATAGCCAACTCCATCAACGCCTAATCCAGGAGTCAAAGTTCCTGGGTGACAGTCTAACTGCACAAAATGTGAATAATTAAAAAAAAAAAAAAAGAAGAAGACGAAGATGAAGGCATTTTAAAAACCAAATAATGAAACTTTTATAAATTAATCACAGACAAAAGTATTAGTTGAACAAAACTCCATAGATCAAATCTGACGTATGCTTTAAAAATAAAGACGACCATTTACATGACATGCCAAACGCTTATTTAACATAGATGTAGTGCGGATGCATGGAAGTATTTTTCATACAAATCATTTATATAATAAATACAGCATTATCATGTACAATCTGTATTTACTATTTTAACATACAGAATAGACAGAACATGTTCTCACAGAAAGCAGCATAATTCCTACCCAACACTGCATATTTCTTGTTACTGGATTAAGAAATATTTAACGCTACAGTTCCCAGGAGTGAGGACTGGAATGGAAATTACCAGGACATGTTTGGTATAAGTAACAGAATCGCCCATTCATTTTGTCGACCGACAGCAAAAAGCAAAGTTATAAATAATAAGACGACAAAAAAAAAAACATTTACTCTTAGAGGAATAACTGAAAAATCCTACAATACACACATAATTTCAACAAAAATAAGAGACGACAGGGAATTAATAAATAAGAATGAGGGACATTTAAATGGTCTCAGACAGCATCCAGTACAAAGGGCTGTAAAGTGCAACTGCAACACGCACGGAACCCGGTTCTTGGTGGATGAACTGAACCGAGTCTCTGGATTTTAGGCTGAATCGCAGATGACCGTCTCGACCACAAAGGTGCTGTCGAAGTGACGGATGCTATGGCAGTTCAGCGCATCGCGCTTCTCGATACCTGTGTGGGGAAACAACAGAAGCGTGGGTGGGCGTGGTTTCAGGGGAAGTCCAGTCTCCCACACGGCACGTTTTACAACCAGCCTAGTCTTTGGCACCAAACCCACCAGTGACTTGGTGTTTATGATGTTAAAATAATCATGACTGAGTTTAAAAATGTCTTGAAACAAATAAATACAATATCATGTAAAAGTCAACAGTTATAGTTAAAACTTCAACATAATTTTCTTCGGCAAACTTGTACACTGTTGTACATCATTCTACCACCAGGCCTAGTAGATGTGCATCTATTTTAAAGTCAGTCTTCTGCTAATTTTCTGACCCCCCCCATTGCTAATATGATGTTTTCATCAGTTAACAGGAAGCCCTCTTTAGATACAGTTTTATTGCCAGGTTACGAAGATGTTGATGAGGCAGACCTTGTAGTGTAAGAGCTAACTAGCATGCCACTGTTGCTTGCAGCCCACGTCTGCAGGTTCCAGTTTAGGTGACTTACGTCTCCGTGGGTGGCGTCGTCGTAGTCGGAAGGTCTCCTTGCCGCCGCACAGCCGGTGGATAAACATTCCCAGTGACCGGAGGTTCCTCACTCTGCCTGCCACCACCATCTCCTCCCTGACTAGGTAGGTTTGGGGCAGGTAGCTTCCCCTCTGCAAATGTCCAAAGGCAAAAAATGTAACTATAATTCCACCACAGACCAGTGTAGATGAAATGCACCAAAACATTTCATGTAAAGCAGTATTAAAATGAGGGAAATGAGACAGGTGGTCACGGCAGGCATAATCCGCAACGGAGTCAGCTTTCAAGCAGCGGTTATAAAACGTGGTTCAGCGTTTTGTCCTATTTCAAACCCCAACGATGAGCCACTTGTCGAGTTTCCCCAAAATGCTACCCTGTCAGAACCAGACCACTCAGATCTGGAACATCTGGCACATAATTGGAAACGGCCGTAAATCGCCCTCGATAAGAGACTCTCTGTGTATGCGTGTGTGTGTGTGTGTGTGTGTGTGTGTGTGTGTGTGTAGGGCACACAATGTGCCTGCCCCTATTGCCATTGCCTCCTGGGATAACCTCCAGGCTGGCTCTGACTAAGAACTGAGACAGTGGAAAAGCAAGATTGGACAGAGAAATTATTTTCTTAATTTGATGGGTAAAAAAGGTCATTCAGGCCTATAACTAATTTACACTCTGAGCTTAGTTTTGCCTTCATAAAGAGCAAACGATGCACATCTCCTCCCACAGTCTGTCAAGTAAACCTGCCTTCTCTAACTTGCCAATTTTGGGTGCCTGAGTGTGTGTGAGCACTGCAATGTGCCCAGCTTGGTGCCCTGAGATTCCTGGAAAAGGCTTCAGGCCACTGCAATTGTGCACTGGATCAGCAGTCATGGAAAGCAACATAACATGGGAAAGCTACTGAGCATGTGCAGTAGATGGAAGTTGTTAAAAAAGTACAGTGACAAAATGTCGAGGCTAAGTGACAATAGAAAAATACCAACCCTCATGTTCATCAGGAGGTCCCACAGGTTCCGTGGGGGGAGGACCACCGAGGTGTTAAGCTCGATGATGTAGCACTTGTCCAGAGCAAGGTCATGGTAGGCAGTTAGACCCTGCAAATGGATCAGACCAAAAATGAGCATTATAAGAAACAACTAGGATGAATAATGGAGATCAAAATTAGTAATTAACAAAGTTATTAATAAATAATAACAACTAAGGACAAAGTGTGGACAGACTTATAGATCTACTTCCAACCTCCATGCATACACAGCAGAAGCAGGGAGCTCAGTAATTAGCTGCTTGGGGATTTTATGTGATTCATCACTTGTCCTAGATTTGAGCTTACAAATATCCATGCTAAATTAAAACAACTATAATTTTATGAACCTAAAAAATACAAGAATAGATTTTTAATTAATTTGCAGTGTATTTATACTGGTGTTCAGGTCTTAGCTTGAACAAAAACACAAAGCATATTTTTTGATACTATTAAACATACTAGTGGACACCATTCTCTAACATGCAGAGTTTGTGTGCATGTGTGTGTGTGTGTGTGTGTGTGTGTGTGTAATGTACATATGATGATGATGATGATGATGGGGCCACCTTTTTGGTTCGAAACTCAATTTTATAAAAATTTGTGACTGCAATCAAAAAGCTAAAAATGCCAAAAGTCTTGTATTTTGTTTGGTTCCTTATGGTTAGGGCGGGGTAGGTTTTAAAGCTCTCATTGATGGGATTTTTCCCTTAGAAATGAGTGTACGGTCCCCACAAAGATATGGATATAAAGATGTGTGTGTGTGTGCGTGTGTTTGAGTGCTCCTAGAGATCTTTACCCTTTGGAAGTCATGGATGATGTCAGCAGGATCACTCCCAGCGAACTGCGGCACAGGCACACTGATTTGCTCGTAGTTCTCCTCGAGGTAAACGCCCACATTCTCCTCCAGCTCCTGGCGCCCACGTAGGGGGGCGTAGATGGAGTCTTCGTAGAGCACACGACAGTGGAAAAGGTTCTCCTCGGGAAGCTGCTCCTTGGACAGCAAACGACAGCATCCACAGCAATAGTCAGTTGTGCCCAGATTGTGTCCATATTAGAAACACATGACCAAAATGGCAGGGCTCTCACCTGCGCTGCAAAGCAGTACTTGTACAGGTAAACAGATGCCAGCACTACACCACACAGGAAGACCACCAGGCCGAAAATCAGACAGCAAAGGCTGTTCACGAAGGATCTCTTGGAGCGAAGTGGGAGTGTAAGTTCATCCTAAAAAAAAAGGTTAATGCACAAATTCAGAACTTAAAGATCCATATTTTCCAGATACACAATTAACACCAAGCTGTAGGATAAAAATTAAATATATTACACAAAAATACAATTATCCAGAATACAATGTGTGAGGTTAAGATAATGGAAAAGAGTTATCAAACTTATCATATATTTCTGACAAATACTGTATTTCCACCGAGAACTTCAAGATGACTGGTCCGCAATATTTTCTGGGGAGTACGTGTTTGCGTTGGACTTCAAAAACGTCAAAAATGGCTTTTTTCCTATTTACAATGATTAAAAATCCTTTATTGGTTGCTATTTGCCCAGCCTTGGCGTGGGTCTAACTTGCGAGTGAGTCTCCAAGCTGAATCAAACGTAGCGTTTTACACCAATCAGTTCTTTTAAAAAAAGAAAAAGCGGGGGACACTTCCGTCACAGGATTGCCTATTTATCTGGAAAACTGCTATCTCCACACGTAAGCGCCGGTATGAGCAATGTCGGGCCGCCCCCGGTCTCGGTACATCTGCCACACGTTCCTCCTACATGGATTAAGCGCATGAGAACGGAAACGCGCTCCTAAAACACAATTCAGCGTATGACTCTTAATTCAATAGGACGCGATTTTACATCACACAGAGAGATCGTCATTTGCACTGCCTCCCGAGGTAGAAAGCAGGGAGGGAGATGGACAAGAACATTTTTTGAGGATCCGAGTATCAGGGTTATTAATAGCCGTTATTAATAGCCATGACAGTATCGCGGAATTTACTGACGCTTCGAAACGCCTGCGTATAGTGGGCGCGCAGCACTCGGAAGACTCACTTTACTAATCGATCTAAAAGAATCATCGATCATGATGGTGTAAGAAACGTCAAAGGACGTCAAGTTGCGTATCACGTTGTCTACGATAAATTTACGCTTCGTAATTATGATGCAATTGCGTGCCCAGAAACTGGAATGGTTTTTAGTAACACAACCGTGCATTAGATAAAAATTATATGAATGACTTGTTAATAGATACTGTAGTTAATTAATGTCTACTCTGTTGGTAATTTTAACACATTTTGTAGCAAGCAGATGTACAATTTTTCATTCTGAAAAGATGGGATGCGGGCGTGCGGGTGAATGGGGTGCATTTCCATCGTATGGACATTTTATGAATTGTTGATTCGTTGAGATTATGGTGAATGGGAGGGGAGAACGAGACACCTAGAAAGTGTGTATCCACTGGTTTCCGGGCAACCGCCCTTTGTCACGTAACACTTATATCAAGGTTTATTAAATGCACGGAGAACAGGATATTCGCAATATTCGTAATATTTAAGATCCATTCAAGGAAAATGCTTTGCACAACATCAGGGCACGACACAATAGTTCTTGCATTGGATTCTCCCAACAAATGCTACATAAATTCAGGTACCCCGTACTGATGCAGATTACAAAGACACCGTGTGGAGTACAGCAGATAGTTGTATTTGTACGGAAACAATGAATAAATACATCCAACTCCGAAAATGTCCTTCCACGACCAGGGTTTATTTAATATGTCAATGAGCAAAAGAGCAGCACAGCCATTACGTCATTCCGGAAAAGGTTCAGGGCACTGACCAAGCTGTCCGCAGACATTAGACATATGCAAATTCATGGTGCATTTATCCTAACTTAGAATTTCATATCAGGCAATGTGGCTAACCAGACCTTGTTTTACTACTTATCGAGGTTCCGTTATACCATTTTATTAAGGAAATATAAATGATAACAGGGAAATGAAATCTTAATAACATATACGATACGCTAGTGCTGTGAACAATGCTGCAGCTCTAGGTAAACTGGTACTACAGCTACTCCCCATTTTGATGTTACACAAGCGTGTCCCACGGTGAAAGAGTTGATGTTCATTCACAGTGGAACATCTGAATGAATGACCGAATAATGCTCTGCGTAAGTGTTATGGCAAATCGATAATCAATGCTGACATTCTCCAGAAAAACTACAGTTGGAATCACTTGGGCAAAACATACCTATTTAGCTGACCGGCTTGTTACAAGTAAAGTAATCGCCACTGTTAATTATCTGCTTCACCATCTCAGAAAGAGCTATATCTACAGACCTATGTTAAAACACACACGTAAATGTGAAATGCACTTTTGTGGTGGTTCGATTCGGGAATACAAATCAATATTGCATATTTCTAACCGTACCTGCACTAGTCGAGACAAATGACATAGATACTATTTCTTTTTAGGTCATCTACTTATATATAGTTACACGTAAGTCTTATATTCAGATTATAGCCTATTCTAAGATTCGATGCCATTTACACATACAGTACATGCATAAGGCACAGTTCTGAGCATCATCAGATGGGACACCTTCAGATTCCGTTCCGCGGAGTCCGAGAACGAGACGATCCGGTGCGAATGTGGACTTACGTGGGGGTATGGAACCAGAATCTCCGCTTTGTCTCCCTCGTTCTCCTTGTCGGGCTTTTGCCCTGCGACGTTGTGGAAGGTGATCTTCACCATGTCTGTACTATGAAGAAAAGGCTGCTCCTGGACTTCTCACTGCAGAGCCGGCAATCTGGAGCTTTCCTGCTGGTGCCACTGCGTCCGTCGATTGCTGACAGCTATGGGAATCGCCTTTTTAGTTGGACCAACCGGAAGCCCTGTGATTTAATAAATATTTATTTTTAATCCCTCTTAAAGCGACAGTGCATCTAAACGGCAGTTGGCGTCGAAAACGATCGCTTGGGAGCGCCTCTTCCGCTAGTACAAATGTGCGAATCCATTGATTAGTTTTAATACGTCCTAAAGTAGGTTATATTAAGTCTTGAAAAGTCAGAATACAGATTGGGGGTATTGGGCCTGGCTTTATTTTGCAATAGTAGGTAATATGAATTTTATACATTAGGTAGTTTAACTGTTTTTGTATTGAGTTAGTGGTATAGTATACCTCCATGAAAGGCTGGGAAAATTATCTGTATTTCAATTAGTTCATAATTAGTAAATAAAAACCAGCTAATCTCTATTACATAGTGCTTTAAAAATGTATTTAGGGCGGCAGATGTTCAAAGGGGGGATTATGTTATGCCCATCTAAATGCATATTTCGATCTATTTTACATGAGCGTTTATCCAGCAGAGTTTTCCGGTGAGCCTGGACATTGCCACAAATAAGAAGCTACAGTGCATGATGCAGAGGACACCCGGGATGGCATGTCAGGCATTAGTTAGCTGACAAACAGATTTGTACCTTCAACTATTAAAGCTTGTTTCATAACCGAAAGAACACATACGAATTAGTGTTCACAGGAAGCAGTGGACACCAAGGTTTGCTAATTTGTCACAACTTTGATCTTTTTTAAGTTTAATTTAACTATTAATTATTTGAGATAGTGGTAGCCAGCTTTGTCACGATTTCCTTCGGGATTAATAAAGTCTTCTGATGGTGTTTCAGTCGGGAAAATGGTGAACAGTAGACGCTGAAATATCGGTGAACTAAATTTACAGTGCAATGGATTACATGTGAAGGAATTTGTTTTCTCGTAGCCTTTATAGCTGTATACGGGAACCGCCTCTAAATGTCCGACAATGGCAGTGACATTGATGTCGCGACAACCCCACCTTGTCTTGAAATCCTTCACTTTTTTAACTAGACAGCATATTCCTGCTGTACTTCCGTTCGGTCACCATTCTCACTTTTTCCGCTTGGTGGCGCTGTATAGCTTTTTGTCTTGATAGGCATTGCACAATCACGCCAGCCTTTTAAACCAGTAGATCCTACATTTAAACTGAACGGTTGAAAATATATGGAACCATTATTGTACAATTATCACTATATGCCGGTATTTAGTAATTTTTTTCCATCTTAAAAGCAATAAATTTTGAGGTACATTGAAAAATGCTATGAAAAATGTTACAAGGTAAATGAACTTTTGCCATCCTTTTATCTACTTAATTTCACAGGCAGTTTAGTTATAATGTTCTCTAAATGGATATGTTTTCATATTCTCATATAGCTTTTGTATGATCTATAAATACTATAAAAACTTTCTCATTTCCCAGTTTTATTGCAATAGTTTTCAGTCCAGAATTTTTTTTTTCTGGTAATTTCATGTCTGCATTCAGCATTAAAATTCTATGCCCAATGGCATCTTTAAAAGATTCTAACCAAAGGCAGGCTATGGAGTTCACAAATAGAACAAAAGCAATATTAAATTACAATGTCTTCACATGTCTGAAAAAGCTGCTTAACTTGTAGAAGCGTAAAATGATTTGTCTAGTTTCCTTTCATCAACCTGATAGGACATTTAAGGTCAATTGTACCTGCAGGACTACACAAATGTAAAAGGTGTTTTTTTTTAGGAAGGCTGGAATAGGATACATTTAACTACTTTGCATATAACGATAACTGTGATAGTTAAAACAAAGAGCAACCAGACTAAATTTTCAAACATAATTCTAAAATAATATAAAAATACATTGCATTACCTCATTTGACAGACACTTTTATTCAAAGCTGCATACAAGTGAGGATCAGAGAACATGGTCAGACACAGTCGAGGGGGCAATTGGGCTTAAGGTTCTTGCTCAAAGGCCTTTCTGTAATATAATTACTCTGCCAGCCATAGGATTTGAACATACAACCTTCTGGACATGGGTACAGATCACTGAGATATACACCCTCGTTATGCTGTAGAAATCAGGTGTACACTAGTGTAACATTTGAAAATAATTATAAATGCCTTAAGTCCCTAACCGAAAAATAAGATTTTATGGATATTGTCAGTATAGCATGATTTTTTTACCCAAAAGGCCCTTTGAGAAAAAAAATCCACATAAAAACTTTGACTTGTAAGCGCATAACGTCCAAGTCCCACTAAATAGATTCTACATCCAAAATGGAAATATCGTACTTGCTATGCGGTTCCACACAGAGAATCACCATACAGGGGAACTGACGGAAGTAGATGTGACGCACATGTCAGAATATCGAGAACAGAGACGGGGAGATCGCCATGGTGACTCATCTGACATCGTGCTGACATCATCCGCCAGCCTGGGAGAAGGCTGGCACACGCTCAGGCTGTGGGATGGTGGTAGCCCACTCGCGCTTCTTCACATTGGCATGTTAATATGACGCGTTACTCATACTATCGGTTTCGTATGCCCACCTTCTCAGGCATGTGGCTGAGCACGCCACATCTAGGCACAATCTCCAGCCACTTGCAAAAGGCTTCCGTGGCCTTATTTACCCATAACCACTGACGTACAGAGATAGGATTTGATACAATGACCCATTCTCTTTCTCCCTAGGGGTAGCAGTGGCAAACCTTCATAAAATGTATGATGAGCATATCATAGAGTGGGATGACAATTGTCCAGGAGAGGCAGGTAGTGGGATGTGGAGATGTGGCTTCATGGCACAGTTTGGGTCCTCAAGTGCTTTTCGAAGTGCCTGGCCTTTCTGTCAGATGTCCTACTGTCTATTGACTCTCCCCTTGTGTGGTCCAGTGCCTTAATTGTCCAGTGAGACAATTTTTTCTCTTCAAAAACTAGGGTATTCTCTTCAATAATGCATCTTGTTCATTTCATGCAATTGATTTGTAATGTAACCATTCAGAACTGAATGTCTTAATTTTCACTGTATGGGCAGCAAGTACAACAATATGCAGATCCCTTCTTGGTCTCCTACAGGGCTCACACATACACACACACACACCCACCCACACCCCCACACACACACACACACACACACACACACACACACACACACACAC